AAAAGGAGGAAAATTAAAGGGAAAAGCTAGAGAAAGACAGGGTGGGAGGAGAGAGAGTTGAAGAAAAAGAATCTGCTGTGTGCATAAGAGCTTCCCTGATAGTAATAACTACTAATGGACACCACAGAGAGAGTGATTAGAAATACAAAGCAAGACAGAGGGAGCAGGGACGTATTGATCAGTGCAGAGAAGTAACTAAGAGATGAGAGCAACAAACAGGTTTGAAGAAACAGTGAGACCGAATCACAATGAGTAAGAAGAAATCAGTTGTACTCACAGCTGTATGGACTGGGCAGCTGGCGTAGCTTGTGTGCATGCACTGATGGCGGTGATGTGGGTGTGGTTGATAGGAGAGGTAATGCTGCAGACTTGCACAGGCGAAGGAGGGGCTGCTCCAGGCCCCCTGACTAGCACTGCTACCAGTGGCCCAACTGGACCCAAGGCCTGGACTCATGGCAGCTGCCTTGCTGCTGTGGTAACCTTTCACAGCTGCACTGGGCTGGTGGAAAGGAGAGATGGGGGGAAAAAAAACAGTGGGAAAAGGAGGTTGGGGAAAAGGAAAAGGAAAGAGGTTAGCGTGGGTGAGAGACAGAGGAGAAAAGAAAAACTGTGAGGGAGTTCGTTGACAAATGCTACAGTCAAGAACATCACTAGCATAACTGTGAGCAGCCTCCACTCTGCAGCAGGCAAGCACTGACAGCTGACTGCCCGCTCACTGACCTGTATCGCAAGAGAAAGCAAGATGTGGTGTTGCTCTAAAGTCTCCATGCCATAGCATCAAGATTGTTCTCACACGTTCTGTTCACCCTTACTCTCTCAGAGTGCCAGATATTGTGAACTCCCCCCTTCTGTCACAGTCAAGACATGTTCTTGCTGGAAAAGTGCTGATTGGTTTGATAAAATGCTTAGATTACAGGCTGGAAATGGGCTTCCCAGTCTGCCAGTATGTATTTGGTATCAACAGGGTCCAGGAAACACAGGGCTAAATCTGCTGACAGGCTGGCTTATGCCACTCTGAGATGGGTTACCTAGGCTGTCATGGCCATTGAAGCACAGAAAAAAAGAAATACAAGACACACAAGACGCACATGCTGACCCACGGCACTTAAAAAGGCTTAAGGCACATACTCCAGTGCAGGCCAATTCTACTAAGCATTGCCTCTTAAATTTTGTTTAAACTTGAATTAAATCTCCAAACAGTTACTGTCACAGGTGAATTCAGATTTGCTGGGTTGTCAGTCACAGAGAGGTACACTTGCTGTCCTTAACTTGTATCTACACAGTTGGTGATTTTGATTTTTTCTGATAAACTGCTAGATTAAATGGCCACCCCAGAATCTGATTGGTCACCCTTGGTGCCACCCTTTCCAGGGTCAAGATGTGATCCTTGTCAGTATTAATGAATGGAAAAGCAATGACAAATTGTTGCCTTAAATACAATTAACATTTTTCTGGTGCTTTCTAATTGATATTGGTCAAATTAGTTTTAGTTTATATCATGCATACTCATGATATTTGTGTTGATTTCTCTCAATGTGTTGTTGTGGAGTACCACTGTGCAGCAGGGATGCCCCCGGTCAGCAAAAAAATAAGGAGCGTAGCCAAAGTTGGCTTAAAGAAAGCACTATGTGTGTGTCATTTTTACACCAAATAAACAACTTGATTTTTAACAATGTATGGTTTATTGATTCAGAGAAATAGGGGTTTAATTTACTTTGTACATACATTTCAAATGTGCCATCCCTCTCTGAGTCTATGTCCCAGCCTGGCCACCCCGTCCAAGATTTTCTAGATCTGCCCCTGGTGAGCTGATCCTTCGGATTCAGATTTCTCTCCCTTGGGGAAAACATATGATATATAATCCAATCTAAAGGTCATTTTGCCATGACCTAATTTACATGTGCAAATAGTGTGCAGAGAAAAGACAAGCCAACGAAGCACAGCTGTACATTACTAGCGAGCATTAAAACAGTCCCCTTTAGCCCCTGTAGGATATTCACCGAGGTCAGAGGCCGTCCCACACCAAGGAAACTGTGGGAGCGCGATGGCAGCATTGTAGACTTACAGCTGCGCTTGAAAAGCTTGAGTGTCTCATATTCTTCATCACAAAAAACCTAAGGGGGAAAACATATGCCAAAGTGCCACCTAATACATACAACACATAATGACAGGTTTAGGGTTCATGTTAATATAAAACAGAAGGAGGCTGTTTCTCCTAAAGCAGAATTAAGAGTTACAGGGAGTCCACAGAGTGTGAAAGAGGCCCACTAGTGTAATAAAACCATAAATCCTGGGTTTTTTTGGGGGGGGGGGGGGGAACAGACAAATATGTGGAGCACCGACTTAGAACCAGATTTGGAACCACGTCACAAAACAGAAGCTTCAGCTACAAGAAAACAGCGGAAAACACACTAAGTTGCTATTTTCTCTCAGGCCTTAAATGACCTGAAGGGTCAAAATTTGAGGATTGTGTGTGGGCAGAATATCTTGTACTAACAACACATCAGCATTTAGAGCTACGCCTCACTGATGCAAGTTATTGAGTGCTATAGAGACATTCCCACACTACTATACAGGCACTGCAAAAGGAAAGGAACAGCCCCAAGTATGGTAAATTAAACTGCACAGCCACCGCCACTACTCTAATGCAAGTATTCAGCAGTTCACAGAGTTTAAGTGCAGCCCCAAGCCATGTAACAACCTCCACTGGCCTTATAAATGAACATTATTCAGCCAAAGAGGAAACTAATGAATCCTTGTGTGTGTTAAAGACCATATCTCAAGGGAGAAATAGATTTTAAATATGTTTCATGAATATACTTATAACAGAGTCATTGATGAAAACATTTTAAGGCTGTCCTACTATGCTGCTTGAGTGGCAAGGTATTCTTCATTCATATCAGAGGGGCAGGGCTGTGTTTTAACACGAGGCTGGGCTCCGAGGGTCTTGACATTCCACGACTGGAATGCATGATTGGTCCCCAGACTCGGATTCATGCCACAAACTTTCAGCGGCTTGTCAGATACTGCAGCTCCACTCTGCCTGAATTTCTATATTTTATGCAAGGGCCAATCAGATCTGGTTACACAAGGCTTTTCCTCCTGTGGGGGGGAATGTTTTACATGCATGCATACAGATGTTTGTATAGTATGCACTGGTGTCTACATGCGTTTGTGAGTGCATCCATACAACGGCAAATCATATACTTTGTGGATATGCTCTTGTACATCTACCCTTGTGAGGGTCGTTTTGGGTTCTCCACATTGGCACAGATAACATGCAGTAACAGTATAGAAAACTAAACAACCTTAAGCACAGAAAGCTGGCACTGAATGCTCGCTCTGCTTTGAACTACTGGTATTCTCTGATCTGACAACTTAGTCTGCATTTTATGTAGGCAAAATTCGAGCTTGTGTTTCGACAACATTTAACAAAAAGATATTTTACTTCTTTTGTTAAAAAATAAAAGCATGTTGATTTGTGTTTCTATTACACTTGTATTGAAATATTTCAGACATCCAGGATTAAGGAGCACCCAGTCAGACAATACATGTATCCTTTAATAACAGCTGGTTTCTATATGAATATCTCTCCCAGCATGTTAATCTTGGATTATAATACTGTACATGCCACAAACAGAGGGATTTGCATTATTATACAAGATACATTTTTCTTCTCTGGTAAACCAAATGAGTAACTATACCATCAAGCCATTACTTTATCAGCACAATTTATTACTAAACATGCAATTTGAGGTAAAATAATGCTTCACCTTCAGCTATGAAAAAGTGAGTGGAGGTGGTGTCTCCATTAATATGCTGAGATGAACCAGAGCACAGCACCTCTCCCAAGTCCATTTTTCACTGGTTAAGTGATTTTCTTCCCGCTCCTCTCTGTCCCTGCTGCCACTGTGTGGTTAAGGATGTCAGGGGATGGACCTTTGTGAATTACCCAGCTCTAGTGCTGCTCCTGATTTGAAAAGAGTTTCTTTATATAAAGTGCTGCAGAACAAGGTATCAAACCATGGGTCAACCTTAATTCAGTTCAGTTGGTGCAAAAGGTAACGTATGCATAGCCATCATTAAATAAACTGAATAACTTGACAAGTGAACTGCAACGTTATTGCCCTTTTAGAATAAATTAAATCAAACCTGGTTTTGGTGGTAATGGTGGTGTCAAGTCCATGGAGATGGAAGTGAACAAAGTGAAATGGGCCGTTTTATGATTCCTGAACTGCAAAGAAGAAAGACATTGCTTCCACATTCACTGAAGTCATTTCTCGGTGAACACTATGTGACCCCATAACTATGATGAAACCTCCCCATGAGATTCCCCCTAAGGAATATGGCCATACTGAGCAAGCCCTTGCTTTTCAGGAAATATTGTCAAATGTATGACAACAGAACACAAGCAAGCTGGGGTAAAGTGGTGAGGAAGCAAAGGGTGGCCTATTGCTGAGAGATCAGATTGCTTTTGTATTACAGAAAGTTTAACAGGAATACAGCTGTTTATGGCTTTCTGAGAAATTTTAGTTTTATGGTTTTTGTCTAGTACCGTATATTGACTTTCCTGCAGGATGAAGCAAGCGCCCTAAGGCAACAGATTGTCTTTTGTTATTAATTTGTTATTTATCCCTGACAGATTATCTAATTGTTAAGGTGTAATACTTCATCTCAAGGTGTCATAATGAACATTATGACAATGTCTTTGTTGCCTGCTTTCTCTATGCATTTAATAACACTGTATCCTGTCTGATGATCAGTCCAGAAGGTATTGTGCCCCACAGCACTTGCTGTATACAGGTCTACTTCAAGGCAGAAATGGTGATTTCCCATGACACAGATCCAAATCAAAATGTCCTGGTTTCCTCTTGGCTTAAATGTGCTTCATCTTTGCTCACAGTCTTATTCAAAAACCAATCAAAAGAACAAAATTGAGGCCCTTAAATCACAACAATAAAACAACTAAATAAGTATCAATGCATTTTTGAACAGAAGGTTGAAATGAATGGTTTAAGGGTGAGAGGTTTCACAGGGATCAGATGACATTAGTTAGGGGATATTGTCTTCCAGAGGGCCCTCCACGCCTGGTTGCTCCATTTGGCCAGCTATGAAAAAGATGCAGCTTTCCTTTGGCATCTCTGATGACTGACTTCCTGGAGGCTGTGTTGCGTGAAATGGCCTCTTCTGTGTCTCTCCTTTGCCAATCCTCATCCCCTTACACAAGTCGCCTTCCACCACCAAAACACGCAGGCTTCAACTGTCACTCCTGGCAAAAACCAGTGGACACAGGCACAACAGGCTCTGTGGGTCACCAGCAGTTCTACCTACAGTTCCAAACAGCACCCCTGTTCACTCACCCCTATCCTTTCTCCACTACACAAGGACGAGGTTCAAGCATAACCAGTGCAACGCAGTGGCAGCACATGTGTGGATTTCAGGCTGCTCTCAGTTGAAAAATGGAAGCAGTGAGCAAGTGAGAAGTTAGCCCTGGGGCCT